GCCTGGATGTCCTCAATGCCCTTTTTCTGGGACTTGGGGTGAAGAGGAGAGCTTTAGTTTTTGAAACTGATGATATGGATCTATGGCAGGAGTAAACAGCTTGATAACTATTTGAGCTTCACCTGACCTGGTCTCCTGATTCAACTCTCCAGCTGTTGGGATCTGCCAACTGGCTGTGCTCTTTGGCCAGAAACCTCTCTTACACAATTAGTGCCAGCCCTGAAATGGGGACTTCTGGTCAGGGTCACATGCACCAGTGTCTGTCTAGATTTCATTCAACCATAAATTCCATGCAGTTTCTTATTCTCTCAAATCAAACCAAGCCAAAAACAAAACAAAACATTTGTTGAGCACCTACTGTAAGCAAAACACTTCGCTAAACTCTGAATAAATTGAGTGTGGCTGATTTAACAGACCGTGAGCTCCTTACCTGCAGGCCATGAATGAGACACTCATTCTGTCTCTCAGTTCATTTTATCAGGGCATTTGTTGAATGCCCCTTGTCAACAGGGCTGTTGACCAGGTACTGAATATACAGTAGGTACTTAGTAAAGACTAGTCAATTAGCTGAATTCCAGAAGTCCTGGAGTTCAGATGGCCTGGAAAGGAAAGCATTATCTTTCTCAGGAATCATTTCAGTGTAAAGGGAGTGAAATCTGAACCCTTGGTGCCTATGGTAAGCTCGCCTCTCCCCCTTGGGTATTAGATGGCCTGAAAAAGCAGACGTCTACCTGGCTTTAATTTTCCCATTGGAAAATGGGAGTTTATTTATTCCACAATGATTTCTTGAGTGCCTTCTATGCCAAGCATTGTGCTGGTACCTGGAAGAACCAAGCCAGCCTTACCAGCCTCATCAGAAGCTGTGAAGACTGAATAGGACAAAGCATTTAAAAAATCTGTTCGCTGCCTGCTGCTGATGAGGGGCCCGGCAGTGGGGGGAGTGGGGAGGGGCGGCAAGAGGTAGAGGGGGGAAGCTTGCCACCTAGAGGCCTCCCTAGATGACCCATCACTGCATGTACATCTCTGTCTTTCTCTTCCTGGCCGGCCAGGAACATGACTTGGGATCAGTCACTACCTGGCTTCTCCACACACAGCCTGCTTCTGGGCCAGGGTTGATCTGAGGCCCTGTTTGGATATTGTTTAAAGTGGCAGCTTTGCTCAGAAAGGTCAGTGTGAGAGACCAGAACAAAGAGATCTTTCAAGCCGCCCTCTCACGGGACTGGGAAAAGCCCCAGCTCTACCTGGCACGGTTAGCGTTAGCTCAGGCTAGTGGGAGAAACCATCTGATTTCCCATTTCCTGGAGGGATGAGCTGAGGCAGAAGGGTGTTCCCAGCATCTTAGAACAGGTCGAGGCCTGTGGAGAGCCTGAATCTCTCCCCATACAGCCCTGGCCACTGAAGCCTCTGTATTGGTTTTTCTCTTTATGTGTATTTAATAAAAATTGGGATTTACCCAAAAGATGCCCAAGGGTAATTATTTGCTGTGCTAAAGAATTCCTGGGAGCTTATTGAGATATCAGAATCCCTTACAGATTTGAAAATAGTAAAATTACACAACTTTTGGGACATAGGATCTTGTGAAGATGCAGTTCTGATTCCTTAATTGTGTGTGTATTGGGGGGAGGCAGGATCCCTGAGAGCCTGCATTTCTCTGAATCCCCTGGGCGATGCCAGTGCCGCCGGTCTGGGAGCCCTCTTCCAGTGTTGATGACGTGGAGACTAAAGGCAGGGAGAGAACAGTCCTTGGGCTGGAGTGGGAAAGAGAGGCCATAGTCCCTCTTGGCTCTGGGCTCCTGGTAGCAGCCTGGGCCAGGCTGCCAGGGAGGAAGCTGGCAGGGAGTCCACAGAGTGGAAAATCACCCACAAGTCCCAGGAGCTACCAGCTGTCTCTGGGCCATAAGGCCCTGGGGCAGTCCCAGGGTGCAGCCCCTAGGTCCAGCCTTGCCCCAGCCTGTGGCCATTGGCCCAGCTTCCTGGGCATTGCTCTACTACAGACTTCCCAGAGCCAGCCAGTCCTGCTCTCTTCTGGGAGCTCATGCAGTCTGCCTTTTCTGTCTCCTGGTGGTGGCTGATATTGAGCTCTCCCCTCAGCTGGCCTGGCCGACGGCCTGCTGTCCAACTCTGGGTTCTTTTCTAAGGCAGAGGCCTCAGTGGGACTGAAGGGCCTCTCCTGCAGACTCCTCCTACTTGGGCTCCTGGGGACTGCCAGTCTGTCCCTGGGTGTGATTTGTCTATGGGGAATCCTGCTTATATGTCTCCTGGGGAGGCAGGGGCTGGTGGAAGGCGAAAGATGGACTTAGAGCTGGAAGATCCCCTCAGGTACTACTGGCCCTTGCCCCCTACTCATTCGGTCCCAAACTTCAATGCAAAATAATGTGGCAAATGAAAACATAATGTAATGTCATCTTTAGGACCCAAATTAAAAGGAGAAAGGAAAATAACTAATATTTAGTGAGCCTCTACCACATGCCTGGGTGCGTTTGGGCTTCACGTATGTTCATCTTCCTGACCGCACTATGAGTAAGTGAGGAATCCTCCTATGGATGGGAGATGAGAATCAGAGTGGCTGCTTCACTTTCCCAAGATCACAGATTCAGAATCTGGCTGCAAAGCTGGACTTTCCATGTCAAGTTGTCCCTTCTGGAACCTGGCTTCTTACTTAGCATAGGGGAAGTGGAAGACACTGAAGATCAGGTAAACCAGTGTTTTTCAAAACTGAATGTTCATTGGAAGCCCCTGAGGACTTGATAAAGCCCAGACTGCCGGGCTCTGCCCCAGAGTTTCTGATACAGTGGGTCTGGAGTGGGGGCCTCAGACTTTGCATTGTTAATAAGTTCCCAGGATGCTGATGCTGCTGGTTCAGGGACCACACTTTGAGAACCTGTGGTCTAATCTATTCTTTCCCAAGCTCTACCTCTAGTGATACACAAGATGGCTTTGAGTGATATACAGACTAACTTTTTATAAGTACTTCTATATTTAATACCTATTTCCAAAAAAAAAAAAAAAACCCCTAGCATACCAAATCCCTAATTTCAGGTATTTTTTTGTGAAGGTATTTACTAAAGTAAAAAAGAAGATGTAAAGGAAAGTATTGCATAAATAATAACACTGATGGTGTGCAGCTAGTAGCAACAATTACAAATGTGATATGCAGATGACAGAAATCTAGGAGACACTGTCCAAACTGGAGTCCTGATTTTGTAGAGGAGGAGACGGTACACAGCCCACAGGTGAGCCCCTCCTCAGGCTACATGGCATCTGTAGCAGTACCCAAACTTGACTCGTCTCTAAGGGCCCCGTGGCTTCCTGTCCTGTTTGCCCCTCTTGGTTCTTCAGAAGCTCTGGACAGACTAGGAAAGGTCGTTGTGACTCTGACTCTATCCCAGGGTCTTTACCTCCATTCTCAGCCCCACAAACGAGGATCTGTGTTTATAATGTTAGTCGTTTGCACATTTTTACTTTCTTCTCTGAAACCAGAGGTTCCCAGAAGGCAGGGACTTGGTCTGCAAATTTTTCTTTTTATGGCCCCATACCCCAAAGCTCCTAGGAATCTGTTTTGTGCATGAAATTTGCGGGAGGGGCTCCTTGACTTCCCTAGCTGCCACCTTTGGCTCTTCACCCCTCTGTAGTCTTTCACTTCTGAATTTGACCACCCGGCAGCCTCTGCTTTCCCTGTGAGCTGTGATCCAGGGAACCCCCACAGGAAATGAGAAGGGTGGTGCTCAAACATTTGCTGAGCACATGCTGTGTGCCAGGAGCTGTGCTAGTGCTGAGCTTCAGCAGCAGGACTGGAGCCCTGCCCTTGGAGAGCACAGCGCACCAAGGGTCAGCCCATGAATGGAAACTGACCACACAGTGTCAAGCTTCAGAAGAGGAATTAACAGGGTGCAAGAGGGACACAGGCAAAAAGGGTGAGCATGGGGAGGAGTTTGGGCTGGCTGCAAAGAGGAAGTGATATTGGAAAGGCTTTCTGAGAGTGAATGAGGAAGGGCTGTTTAAGGCAGTGGGAGGAGCCTGTGCCAAGACTTGACATAGGTCACCTGGGTCCGTTGTTCAAAATGGACCTGAGTGGCAGGAGATGAGATGGGAGAGAGGCAAGGGGGCAGTCCCTTCAGCCCCGCGATACCTTGCTGAGGACCTAGACTGGATTCTGTAAGCCCTGGGGGTGCTGAAGAAGGGACCAGCCTGGGGAGGAACAAGATGACTTTTGTCTGTCAAGTGGACCCTTCCAGGGGCGATGGAGCAGTGTTTCAAACTGCAGGCCACAACTAGTGAGTTGTGCAAACTAGTGGGCTGCAAGTTCTTTTCAGTGGGCTGCAGCCAGCATTTTTAAAAAGAGGAGTAGAGGGAGACATAAAGTAGAAAATACCAGAGTGGACGGCACACAGTAGAGCTAGGTAATGTGTCAAGAAACTTGCTTCAGTTTTATGTAAGGAAAGTGTGTGCATACCGGGTTGCAATTTAAAATGTATATTTTACTTTCGGTCACACTTTAAAAAGCTTGCAAATTATTTCAGGGCCCAGAGAGCTGGCAGGGGCTGTGGCCGGGGTGATACTGGCCTTTGTGGTGATGCAGGCTGGTCTAGGGCTCTGGTGATGGGGACTGAGAGGTGAGGATGGACCCCAGTGTTGACCAGGTGTGGTGGGTGAACATGAAGAATTTGAGGCTGATTCAAGTCAGAAAATCTGACACCAGCCAAGGCTTTGGGGCCAAGACAGCGTCTTGTTTGAAATATTCCATCTTGGTCCCCTTCTGGTAGTGAATGGGAAGCCTGGGTTCCTGGGGGACTGTGAGGGAGAGGGATCCTTCTTATTCTCTGATCAACTACATCCTGGGCTTCTAGGATCCTGGTGTTACAACTCTGACCTTTCATTCCAGCTGACTGTTTTCAAGTAAAACTCTAATGGGCCAGCTTCTACTTATATCTGCAGGTTTGATGATGGTGTCTGTGGGAGCTAGGCTGGTAATGACCCTGCTTCTGCTATCTTCCCTCTAGGAACATCGTGAAAGGGATGAGAGAGCTCCGGGAGGTCCTACGCACCGTGGAGACCAAAGCAACTCAGAACTTCAAAGTGGTAATAACACACGGCCAAGGCCTCGGGGTTGGGTGCTGGCTGTGGCTGGCCTGTTCAGGGCTCACTTTCAGTGGGAGACAACAGAAGTGCTAGCAGACAGCCTATGAATCAGGGATGACAGTGTGTCCCACGCATGCTTCTCCTCTCCCTGTCTGTGCTCATGGCAGACATTGTTAATCAATCTCCGCATTCTCTCCCACTACGCCTGGGAGGCACCATCAGCATCCTTGTCACAGCACTGCCCACAGCCCCTAGCGTTAGATCAGAGTTAAAACCTAATGTCATCCCTTCCTAGCAAGGTGCTGCACCAATTCTTAGGGATTGTTTATGAACCTAATAAATAACGTGGACTCCCTTTCCTGCCCCAATTCAGGTCTACCTTCTCAGGCTTTGATTCACCCAAAGTCAGAGCCACAGCTGCTTCTCACTCTAGAATTTTTGGTCAAATATCAGAAAGCCATCTGGTCGAGAGAGCTGCCATGCCAGTGGCTTTATGCTCTGCAAGGGCTTGCTGAATACTCAGAGCGGTGCTGGGCTCCATGGGGCCAGAGGAGGAGGAAACATACATCTTGTCTAGGAGAGGAAAGAGGACAGGAAATGAAGTAGAAGCCATCAAAGGCCAACAGAAGGGGTGCTGGAAACAGAACAGGGGGCTCCTCAGGGGTGGAGAGGCAGGCCTCCTGAAGGGGCAGCACACTGCAAACAAAGGCAGGCGGATTTGGCCGGGTGGTGGAGGGCGTTCCAGGTCTGACTTCCTCCCTTTTCTGCCAGATGGCGGCCAAGCATCTGGCGGGGGTCCTGCTACATTCGTTGAGTGAGGAGTGCTACTGGAGCCCCCTGTCCCTCCCGCTGCCTGAGTTCATGAGCAAGGAGGAGAACTCCTTCATCACGCAGGCCCTGCGGAAGCCTCACCTCTACGAAGGAGACAAGTAAGCTCTGCTGGTCTCATGCAACAATTGGGGTTCGGCCCTGCCGACGTCCCCTCTCTCTGCCCTGCACTTGCCCCCAGCTGCCACCCAGCTCACTGCCAGGCAGGCAGCGGCGGGAGCCAGATAGACCAGGGAAGACAGTCTCAGGATGGGGTTGGAAAGAGAATTCTCTAAGGCATCCAAAGATCGAATTATTTGGAGGGTATCTGCCTTCCTACTAGTCTTTGTGTGCCTTCTCTTGTATTTGTTTAATAACCGAAAGTGGGATTTGTGCTCCCGGCTCCCTGCCCCAGCTGCTTCACGCAGCACTGGGTGCTGGAAGGGACATTTCTTCCCCTGGAGCATCTGCAGTATTTCTGGCCCCACCACCCACCCCAGTCTTTCAGATCCATAACTCTGGGGCTTGATAAAGAGCTGCGGGTGCTATCCGGTGCCTGTGAATTATGCAGGAGTGGGTCACCTTACCGGGGCAGCTGCTGACTCTGGGGCAGAAAGGCCGGTGTGACAGGCCGGCTGCACTGCTTTGAGAGGGCTGTGCTGGAGCCAGGGCCACCGTTTGTGTCTTTCAGCCTCTACTGCCCGAAGGATAATATTGAGGAAGCCCTCCTGCTGCTCCTCATCAGTGAGTCCATGGTAAGCTCCAGGGCTTTCCTTCACTGCCCCCATGGGGTAGGGCTGCGGGGCTCAGGCACAGGCCACAGGGTCCTGACCCAGCTCAGCCTCCCACAGACGTCCATAAAGCAGGATTCTTGGACTTGTGCCCCACACTGGGGCAAGGCTCCCTAGACTACTAGGTTTGGGTCTGGTGCACAGACTGCATTTGGGGGCCTGAGTAGGGACTGAGTTGAGTCCCCAACGCCTCTTCTGGGATTCCAAAAGATGAGTATCAGTAAGCCATGAGTGTGCACTGAGCAGCCTTGTGCTGATTCTGGGGCCAATGTGAGGGAGTGGAAGGAGCCTGCGCTTTCAAGGCACAAGGCCTGGATTCAGCTTCCAGCTCTGCCAGCTGTCACCTGAGGGCCATGGGCAAATCTAGTGCCTTTGAGCCTTAGTTCCTTCCCCTGTTAGATGATAGTAGTGCACAGAGGTAAGTGTGCCTGTAGAAGGAATTCAGTCATTCACGCAACTATTTATTATCATCTACTTTGTGCCAGGCCCTGTTCCGGAAGCCAGAAAGGCAGCAGCAACCAAGCGGAGAAAAGTCTCCACCCTCATGGACCTTATATTCTAGTGAGGGAGGTGGACAATGAATTAAGCAACCACTGCAATGTTCAGGGTGCTAGTGTCTGAGTACTGTGGAGAAATAAAGCAGAGGAGGGATAAAGTGTGCTGGACAAAGTGTGCAGGAAGTGCTCTTTGGATGTTTTCATAAGACCCATTTCCCCTGCCTCAGGCAGGGAGATGAGTCCCCCCCCCCACACACACACACACATACACACACAGACACGTGTTCACACATACACACGCATGGGCCCTGGAGCCTCAGCGGAGGAGAGAGTGTGGCCCAGGGGATGGTGAGAAGGATGGCCTGGACTGGGCAGAGGGAGGCGGAGGAGGGGTGTGCTGGAGCAGCGGAAGCCAGAGGGTGCAGGTGCTGCCCACGTGGTGTGCTTGGGTGGAATCCAAGGCTGCATGTCAGCCCTCTGGCTAAGGGGTCCCTCAGAGCTTGTGAGCTGGGGACACCCCACCTCCCCCCAGGTTGGGGACTCAATTTGCTAAATTGGCACATCTGAGAGCAGCTTGTAGAAGTGGAGTTTAAGAAACCAAGACCCCATGAGCTGGGTCCCTGAAGAGCCTGAAACTAATATTCCTCTGGACACCTGGGACAATGCAGTAATAGGACTTGTTCAGAGAGCTTTGGTCAGTGGGTTTCCTCCACCTCACCGGGTCCGCAGGCAGCGAGGCAGGAGAGGGACACTGGACTGGGGCAGCGAGAGATTATAGCCTTCCTTAGCCAGGCCATGGTCCAGAAGGTTTGCAGGGTCATGCTGGTGAGGGGGTGAGTGGTTGCTCGAAGAAGGGGCATCTAGCTGGTTAGCCTGCGGTGAGGATAGAAATACCAAGTGCAGGGTTTGATTTTCATCGGAGAGCAATGCTCTTTTCATGGAAAATGGGCCCCCACTCTAACCACAGACTGAGCCCCAGTTTCTACTTCTGGCATCTCAGACATAGACTGGTACCCCACCCTGCCCCCAACCACACACCTGAGCCATCTCACCACCTACCACTCTCGGATGAGACTGCACTGAAGTCATCTGTCTCGGGAAACCCCCCTTCCCATGCTGAGGAATGACAGGTGGGAGGCAAAAAGGCGAAAGCAGGAACATTTCATAGGTCCTTTCTCTGCCAGGTTCTGAGCCGATTATCTCATAGAGGGAAGCCTTATGTTGAGCCATGTGAAAAAAATAACCATTTCATATGGTTCAGTCTAGTACTAATATGTTCTCATTGTGCAGATGAGAAAAGTAAGGTCCAGGGCAGGTTTGTGTCTTGGTCAAGGTCACACACTAATAATCTTCACAGCCATGAATTGAATGATGTCTACCTCCCTAAATAACTTCCAAAACACAGGCCATGGAGCCCAAGCCCTGGACTGCAGTCTGGATTCTGCCACTTACAAACTGCTCTGATTCTTGGCTCCCTCATCTGTAAAAAGGCCAAGGGGGTAGTTTTGAAGATCAAATGAGACGAGGCTCAGGGAGGGCTTTGCAAGCAGGGACGTGCCTGTCGATGTGAGATGGCAGGGACCGAGGCTGGACTCTGTCTCCCTTAGCCATTTTTGGTGGCCTCTGCCTGATCTGGGAGCCCAGGACCAGAGTTCAGATGCCCTTCCATTAGATTATCCCCCCACCCAACCCCAAACCCTCAAACTACCCTACTATATCTCAAAGTGGAGAATGGCCTTTTACTAAAAAATGGCCTACATTTGGAGCCAAAGTGAATTTTCCTAAACGTGGGATTTCTCTCCAAGAAGCTCCTGCCCTTTTACAAGAGGCCGTGTGACTTGTTGGCCTGCCCAGGAGACTCAGAGGGTGCAGGCCGGCTGGCCAGGTGGTGTCCTGGGAATTCCTGTAGCACACAAAGCAGAGGAAGTGCCCAGACGCTGTGTGCACTGGGCTGGGAGGAGGCACTCTTCCAGGGCTGGCTGGTTTGTTTCCTCTTGCTCACACCCAGCCTGTCACATGTCTAGAAACTTTAGGAATCTGGGGGAGAGCTTTGGTGTCTCATCTACAGAGGGCTTTCCACCTGGGATCTGGATCTGGCTTCTGTGGCTCAGAGCGGTTTCTCAGAGAGACCAAATAGCCTCTGACTTCTCCCTTGCCCTTGTTTCGTACCCTCTTCCCCTGCGGGTCACATTTTCAATCAGGTGTGGACACCACTATTCCAGCCTCCTGGGCTCTGATCCCTTAGGTGAACCCTGAGGCTCAGCCTGGCTTCCATGTACCTGTGGGGTTTTCCTCATCTCCCTTTGATGCTGGCTGGGCTTGGCTGCAGATGATAGGGAGAAGCCTCTAGAACAGCAGCTGGCTGCCTTGGCTGCTACTTGGGTTTTCCTAATACATGCCGAATTCATTATGCTGTGGTAAAAGCTACCCCAGCAGAGCCAGCCCAGGAGACATGATCATGAAAGCTTTCCACCTCTAGGATCACCAGAGCAGCTGCTCTGGGAAACGGTGTCCACAGGTTTCTTGAGCATGTCAGCCCCTATTTTGTGGTTTGGAACTCAGAGTAGTAGCTTGCAAGCAGTCTTGAGCTTGGGGCTGTTACCTTAGATACGGTTTTTGTTACAGGCCAGCCGAACATGATCAGAATGAATAGGGAATCCCCTTGTCTTTCAAGAAGAGGTAAATAGAAACCGTACAAGTGCTTTCACAAAAATGCAAGGGATGTGAGTTATAACTGGTTGAAGAAGATTTGTGTTTTAGACCTAGTTTTGAGTCTTTGGGGCCAAAAGGACATTTTATTTTTTTATTTTTTATTTATTAAAAAAATTTTTTTAATGTTTATTTTTGAGAGAAAGAGAGACAGAGCATGAGCGGGGGAGGGGCAGAGAAAGAGGGAGACCCAGAATCCAAAGCAGGCTCCAGGCTTAGAGCTGTCAGCACAGAGCCCGATGTGGGGCTCGAGCTCACAAAATGCAAGATCATGACCTGAGCTGAAGTCAGACTTTTAACCAACTGAGCCACCCAGGTGCCCCCAAAAGGACATTTTAAAATTCATCCATCCACCCACCTGTTTGCTTATCCATCCTTCCATCCATGTGTCCATCCGTCTAGTCTTGTTAGAGAAGCTACAACATACCAGGCCATGCCCAGCACCAGAGAAACAATGATGAGGAGTTCAATCACAGCCCCCAATTCCACCTACTTCCACCCTTTATCCAGGGAGCTGGAGAATCCTGGTCCCCATATCAGGAGGAATCCCCTCACCCCCATCTGCTGAAGCCCAAGTATGTATTTTAGTTTTTAAAAGAATCATATATCAAAAACTAGTCTAATTTTCTCAAACAGTTGGGGAACCAGCAAGTACAGAAATCTTGATCATTTCTACAATACTGATCTAGGCATAAAATATATGCTAAGACAGACAATTTGTGGGTCCCTGTTTCATTCAGCTGGTGGAGAAGTTGCTGCTGGTATCAGGTGCTTGGAAACTAAAAAGGCACAAAGGCCTGGTGTTGAGTGAGAACGGGGTGGACGAGTAAGCCTCTGGGGACCAGGACCCTGCAGCTTAACTAACTGTGCCATGCCCAGTGTCAGGCACCCAGCAGTCTGAGTCTGGAATTTGCCATTCACAATCTGTGTGGCCTGGACAAGGTTCTTACCTCCCTGATCCTCGGTTTTCTCCTCTGTAAAATGAGACTAAGAAGGCCTCTCTTGCACAGAAAAAGCAAGAAAATGAACACAAGGTGCCTAGTACATTGTAGATGTTCACCACGTATTTGTTTTGTCCTGATAAATACTTGGCTCCAGCTCAGTCAGTTTAGAATATGTTGAGGCTCAGTTCTGGTTGGGACATAAATTGGTTTGAGGATACCATTCAGTTTAAAAAAAAGAAAGAAAGAAAAGAAGAGAAAAGAAAAGAAAGTGCTTCTTGGGCTTGATTCCATTTGGGACTCAGCAGATGAGCACAGATCGTTCCAGCATTTGGCACCTGGTTTGCTTTAACACGAGGCCCTGTGCTGCTGCAGACTGTGATGGTAAAGGGTCTGATAACACTGCCAGCTCGGAACAGTCGGTTCAGTAGAGGTGGGAGAGCCTCTCGCCCTCGCTGGCAGGAAGAGCTGCGATTTCTGCCGCAGAAGCCTGATGCGGCAGGAGAGTGGGGGCTGGCGTGGGCCTGGCCCGGGTTGCTGCGTAGATGGGACACGTCACAGAGCATGTTATTTCTTGGCTCTGTGGACCAGCAGCTTGAGAGCCGTGGTAATTATGTCTGCTGGTGGGGGACGAGAGCACAAGCAGAACATGACAGTGCCCTCCAGGGAGGGGCAGGTGCCAGTCGCAGATGCTGCTGGGAGACTCCTTTCCGGGGTGCTTTTGTAGGGTGGCAGCAGCAGGCCCTGAGACCGGGTCCTTGGCCGGTGGAGCAGCTGTGTCTGAGAACATGGCTGGACCCATTGCCCGAGGGGCTTT